CTATGCACACAACTCTGGACAGCCAGGAAGATCACTGGAAGCAGGGAAAGCATAATTACAAGGAGCCCAGATCATATTGCCATTGGTTACATGGGTGAGGAACTTTTGTTTTTCTCTTCATATCTCCTTGAATTCCTCCCAGATGCTTCAGGCTCTGCTTCTGCTCCACCAGCTCCCTGAAGCAAGCACCAAGCAGTCTGCCAGGATAGCCTATTATCAGAGCAAAACAAACACCTTCTGCTTGCGCCTTGCTGCTTCAGTGTGTGTTGGAGTTTATGAGGCTGATGGGGCTTCAGAGGGACACATTTGGCTGCCTCTCCTCACCTACTTAGCTTGTGCTGTATAAAGCAAATGACTTGTTTTCTCCCAAGTGCCTTTAAGATTGCTAACTGGCCACTTATCTGAGAGAGGGGTTTCAGCTGGGGCTCATTTTTTCATTTTATAAAAAATAACAGTGCAGCAGCCCTGCTCTAAAGAAATGGAACAACCCAGGCTCCCACCACCTGTTTGGGTGTGACCAGGAGTCCTTTCTCTGTGGAGCAGATGTTGGAGGGAACCACCCAGAGGACTAGGCGCTCAGGGTGACTGCACCATGAATTTACTGTGCAGGGCGGCCTGTCCTCACCTCCTTGCTTGCTGCTCTCCCCTGGAGAGGATTCAGGTTGCTGTTTGCCTTATCCACCCCCTGTTGTGTGTTGCCTATTCCTCCAGATCTCTCAGGCTCTCTGTGTCACTCTGGGGTCCCCTCTTTGTACCTGCTTCCCAGTGAGTGATGAGTGGCACTCTTTTGTGTCCTTATTTGCAAATAGAAACACGGCAATGATTCCTGGAAAAAGCCCATCAGCGTTCAGTTCAGTTCAGTTGCTCAGTCATGTCTGACTCTTTGTGACTCCATGGACTGCAGCGTGCCAGGCTTCCCTGTCCATCACCAACTCCTGGAGCTTACTAAAACTTATGTCCATCAAGTCAGTGATGCCATCCAACCATCTCATCCTCTGTCATCCCCTTTTTCTCCTGCCTTCAATCTTTCCCAGCATCAGGGTCTTTTCCAATGAGTCAGTTCTTCACGTCAGGTGGCCAAAGTATTGGAGTGTCAGCTTCAGCATGAATAAATGAATGACTATTCAGTATGTGGCATTCATTCAGCATGAATGAATGAATAAATAGCCAATGAATATTCAGGACTGATTTCCTTTAGGGTTGACTGGTTTGATCTCCTTGGAGTCCAGGGGACCCTCAAGAGTCTTCTCCAACACCACAGTTCAAAAGCATCAATTCTTCAGTGCTCACCTTTCTTTATAGTCCAACTTTCACATCCATTCATGACTACTGGAAAAACCGTAGCCTTGACTAGATGGACCTTTGTTAGCAAAGTAATGTTTCTGCTTTTTAATATGCTGTCTAGTTTGGTCATAGCTTTTCTTTGAGGAGCAAGCATCTTTTAATTTCAGGGCTGCAGTCACCATCTGCAGTGATTTTTGGAGCCCAAGAATATAAAGTCTGTCACTGTTTCCATTGTGTCCCCATCTATTTGCCATGAAATGATGGGATTGGATGCCATGATTCATTTTCTCAATGTTGAGTTTTAAGACAGCTTTTTCACTCTCCTTTTTCACTTTCATCAAGAGGCTTTTCAGTTCCTCTTCACTTTCTGCCATTAGGGTGGTGTCATTTGCGTATGTGAAGTTATTGATAATTCTCCCAGCAATCTTGATTCCAACTTGGGCATCATCCAGCCCGGCATTTCACATGATGTACTCTGCATAGAAGTTAAATAAGCAGGGTGACAATATACAGCCTTGATGTTCTTCTTTCCCAATTTGGAACCAGTCATTTGTTCCATGTCAAATGCTAACTGTTGCTTCTTTTTTTTTTTACTTTTATTTGCATTTATTTTCTGCGGCATTTATTCCCGGGCTATAGTTTTTGTTTTTTCAGTTTCTTCTGGGATATCTTTTTCTTCTGTGCAACCTCCTCTTCTGGTTTAGGAACAATCTGTTCTTTTCCAGTAAGGATCATCTCAATGTGGCAGGGAGAGCTCATGTAGAGGTTGATCCGACCGTGAGCTCTGTAAGTCCTGCGCCGCATCTTGGGGGCTTTGTTCACTTGGATGTTCTCAATGACCAGAGTTCCACACAGTCAAAGGCTTTGGCGTAGTCAATAAAACAGAAGTAGATGTTTTCCTGGAATTCTCTTGCTTTTTCAATGATGCAATGGATGTTGGAGTGCAGTAAAGAGGCAGTTAAATCTATATAGTGTACACCTTGCAGGTTTTTGTTTACCTTTGGCCAATTATTTCACTTCTCTTTCCACACCTGTCCTGTCCTAGGACACTCCCCGACATGCATGTGCATCATTTTGCCAAGATGGATTCCAGCCCAGGGACCTATGGGAAGGTTGACAGGAGACATTATGGGTTGGCGCCCCATCCTTTTTAACCCTCAAGGAGTGTTTCTGTGCATGTGTAGTCAGGAAGATCTCTTTGACCTCAAGAATAAGAAATTTGTGTTCTCTTATCTCCTACCCAAGCAGGAACTAGCTCCTCCTTGCTCTTGTCATCATTTTTGTCTCGGAGGGTCTGTCCACAGGGAAAAGTTTCCAGCTGCACAGCTGGGGCCCATCTATCTCCCACCTCACTATGAACAAGAGAGTGATACCAGCAAAAAAAAAAAAAAAAAAAAACCTTGATGCTAATGGAACTCTGAGAGGTAGCTTGTGACATGAAAGGATTAAAGGATAAGCTATTGGAAACTAATCCAAACTTAGAAAGGACTATGACACTTTGTCAAGGCACAGAAAAGCTGCTCACTCAGTGTAGTAAGTTATACAACAAGATAACCGCTATTTCAATGCCTCTTACTAAAGTTTTTAAAAAGAAGTGCAACACCCCGTCAATGTTTTTAATGTTTTAAATTAATGTGTTAAATAATATTGGTTTACTAGTTTTTTATTTCCGTATATATTTATAACCTCTGAACAAAAGAACTGTGGTGTTGGAGAAGACTCTTGAGAGTCACTTGGACTGCAAGGAGATCCAACCAGTCAATCCTAAAGGAAATCAGTCCTGAATATTCATTGGAAGGACTGATGCTGAAGCTGAAGCTCCAATACTTTGGCTACTTGATGTGAAGGACTGACTTATTGAGAAAGACCCTGATGCTGGGAAAGACTGAGGGCAGGAGGAGAAGGGGACGACAGAGGATGAGATGGTTGAATGGCATTACTGACTCAATGGACATGAGTTTGAGTAAGCTCCAGGAGTTGGTGATGGACAGGGAAGCCTGGCATGCTGCAGTCCATGGAGTCACAAAGAGTTGGACACGACTGAGCAACTGAACCGAACTGAAACAAAAAACTTTTAATGTTTGGATGGAAATTTTTAGAACTTACTTAATGATCATAATTTTCTCAATGATTATTAAGCTCATTTGAACAGTTTCTTCTGACTACATGGTTTTTTCCCCCAGTCCATCCTTACTCTGCAAAGTGAAGACTGCTGAATATACTGAGACCAAAGATTAGGGATGCCATAGGTGAAGCAAAGCTAATCATCACAACTGTAATTGTTTGTAAATTTGTAGTAATATGATCCTGTTTTTTGCAGAAAAACATCTGTGTGTGTGTGTGAAATTGGGAAGTTGGTCAATGGCCTCCCCATTTGTTGAGTGCTGGAGGAAAATATTGTTACTGACCAGGGTTCTTGGCCTCCTTAATCAATAGAAATTGATCAGAGACCAGTCAAGAAATCCAAGTAAGGCTTTATATTGGGTCCCCTCCTGCAGCAGGTGGGGAGCAAGAACAAGGAACACATTCTCTTGCTATTTTGTTCACTGAAAAGGGCTTGAGCTGGCTCTTTCTATGGGGTGAGGGTAGGGGTGTGTCCAGGGGACATGCCAGAGGGGTGGCTCAGGTGATTTGCCCACCCCTTTGGTAGTGTTGTGTGCAAGCGGCATGCACAGTATACTGCTTTTGCTCTCAAAACCCTGTTGATGCTCCTGGCTCTTTAGAAGTGACAGCTGGGTTTTTAGTCTTTTCACACCTTGTCCATAATTTGCCTCAAGTGCGCATTTATTGCTGTTGTTATTTTTCAGTCTCCAAGTCATGTCTGACTCTTTGAGACCTCATGGACTACAGCATGCCAGACTCCCCTGTCCTCCACTGTCTCCTGGAGTTTGCTCAAATTCATGTCCATTGAGTTGGTGATCTCATCCTCGGATGCCCTCTTCTCCTTTCACCTTCAATCTTTCCCAGCATTAGGGTCTTTTCCAATGAGTCAGCTCTTCACATCAGGTGGTCCAAGTATTGGAGCTTCAGCAACAGAGATTCCAATGAGTCTTCAGCGTTGATTTCCTTTAGGATTGACTGCTTTGATCTCCTTGCTGTTTAAGGGACTCTCAAGAGTCATCACCAGCACCACAATTCAAAAGCATCAATTCTTTGGCATTCAGCCTTCCTTGTGGTCCAACTCTCATATCCATACATGACTACTGGAAAAACCATAGCTTTGACTGTATAGACCTTTGTCAACAGAGTGAAACAGCAGTCTCTGCTTTTTAATAGGCTGTATAGGTTTATCATAGCTTCCCTTCTAAGGAGCAAGCATCTTTAATTTCATGGCTGTAGCTACTATCCGATGTGATTTTGGAGCCCAAGAAAAGTCTGACACTGCTTCCACTTTTCCTCCTATTTGCCATAAAGTGATGTGGCCAGATGCCATGGTCTTATTTTTTTCAATGTTGAGTTTCAAGCCAGCTTTTTCACTCTCCTCTTTCACATTCATCAAGAAGCTCTTTAGTTCCTCTTCATTTTCTGCCATTAGAGTGGTATCATCTGCTGATATGAAGCTGTTGATATTTCTCTCAACAATCTTGATTACAGCTTGTGATTCATCCAGCCTGGCATTTTGTATGATGTACTCTGCATATAAGTTAAAAGCCTTGTTGTACTCCTTTCCCAATTTGGAACCAGTCATTTGTTCCATATCAAATGCTAACTGTTGCTTTTTTTTTTTTTTACTTTTATTTGCATTTATTTTCTGCGGCATTTATTCCCGGGCCATAGTTTCTGTTTTTTTCAGTTTCTTCTGGGATATCTTTTTCTTCTGTGCAACCTCCTCTTCTGGTTTAGGAACAATCTGTTCTTTTTCAGTAAGGATCATCTCAATGTGGCAGGAAGAGCTCATGTAGAGGTTGATCCGACCGTGAGCTCTGTAAGTCCTGCGCCGCATCTTGGGGGCTTTGTTCACTTGGATGTTCTCAATGACCAGAGAATCTACATCTAAGCCCTTAAGTTCAGCATTACTCTCTGCATTTTTGAGCATATGTAGTAAAAATTCAGCACTCTTTTTGG